ATAGTCTTGCACATATGTGCACATCATGCCTGAAGTTTCATGGCATTTATGGTTCTCTGAGGCCAAAGCAGGGGCCCCAGGACCAAGAACCTCAGAAAACAACAAGCGCCATGGAATCTAGGAGGTCTGGAGTCCATGAGTGTCTCGGTGGGAACAGCCAGCCAGCCACGCAACTAGTGCATTACTCTTTCAGGGCTGGGTTGTGTGCGTGTGCTTTAAGTCAGCAGCTGTTTTTAGCTTTGCTATATATGGCCAGGGGAGGAATGAGGACTATAGGAGGGGGAGGGGTGCCAAGCAGCCTACAACAGGGTTTGGGAGGCCAGAGCTCCTGCACCAGCCCCACCTTCCCTTTCCAAGGCGAGAGCTGAACAGCTTGTCCTCAGACCAGAGAAAAAGCCTAGAAAACAAGGAGGGGGTCTGCGGAGGTGGGAATGTCAAGGGCTTCCAAGAAGATGCCAAGTCAAGTCACCTTAGTGACCATGACTTGCAGTTAGAAATACATTTTACATCGCAAGACACACATAAATGCAGACACTTTTAAACACACACACTCACACATTGTGTATGCATATATATATCTCCCCAACTGAACAAATATTTCCAAAAATAATACTTTATCTTATTCTGTGAAATACTCTGACACTTCTATTCTATTCTTTCCTCCTGACCCATTGAATTGATTTCACCATCCACTAATGAGTTGATATCTCCAGTTTGGAAAACTGCTGTTTTCTTGGTAGCATTTGACTGCAAGGGGAGCAGTAGAGAAGAATTCTAAACCTTTGAGGATAAGATGCAAGTTTCAGCTTCATCTCCTAGCTGGATGGGAAGTTTTGGACCTCCCAGCTTTTGCATGCTGTCCTCTGGTCCTGGAGTCTTCCTCTGTCCTTGTCACCTGGCTCATTTCTGCACGTACATCGGGGCTCAGCTTGCAAATGACTTCAGAAAGCCTCCCTGAATGCCTGCGTCTGCTCAGCTGCCAACGCTGGTTCTGTTACTCCTCTGTCTGTCCCTACCGAGCACTCGACACAGTACTGCAGGACAATTTCCTGTTAAATTTGCTGTGGAGGCAGGAAGCGTTTCTCTTCTGCTTATTTCTACACCACCAGTGTAGCATAGTGCTAACTGCATCATAGTCACTAAATAAATATTTATTGGATGAATTAATAATAGGTAATAGTGGCCAGGTGCAATGGCGCACACCTGTAATCCCAGCACTTTGGGAGGCTGAAGTGGGCAGATCACGAGGTCAAGAGATCAAGACCATCCTGGCCAACATGGTGAAACCCTGTCTCTACTAAAATACAAAAATTAGCTGGGTGTGATAGTGCACACCTATAGTCCCAGCTACTTGGGACACCGAGGCAAGAGAATCACTTGAACCGGGGAGGTGGAGGTTGCAATGAGCCAAGAGCGTACCACTGCACTCTAGCCTGGTGACAGAGTGAGAATTTGTCTCAAAAAAAAAAAAAAAAAAAAAAATATATATATATATATATAAACATATGTAATAGTAAGAATAGCAACAACTATTTACTGAGTACTCATTTATTCCATGAGAAGACTTTTGAGAGACTGGGATGGGTCCATTTTATAGATAAGGGACTTAGTGAGTTTAAACAACGTGGCAGGGCAGGGGGAATGACCCAGGGCTGTCGGACTCCCAGACGTTCCTAATCATAGGATCTTATTTGTCCACATTCCCCGCTGCAGCGATACCCAGGTTGGGGGAAAGGGTGAGGGCAGATCCTTAACAAATCCTCTGGGGACTGATGACAGGTTGATTAAAGAGATTTTCCGAAGCAGTGGCCACATCTAATTTTGGAGAGTTACACCTCGTGTGTGGCTTGGGAAAGAGAATCTGTGAGGTTGCCAGGGCCCCTGGATGTGGGGTCGTCTCATTTGGGAGAAGTCTGAGCCTCTGACAAACCAAGGCAGCAGACTTCTGGTCACCTGGCCTGAAGAGCTTCTGGGCACACGTGGGATAAACCCAGGGCCCACAGAGACTGTGTGATCCAGCCCAGCCCCACGACTGTTGCACTCCTCACTCACTTTGGCATTCTTGATGTTCCTCAAACACGCCAAGCCCAGCCCTGCCTCAGGGCCTTTGCAATGGGATTCCCTCTGCCCGAGAGGACCTACTTCCTCTCTAGGCTTCTGAGACCACACCATCCTCTTCCACCTCTGTCAGTTTCTTCCATAACATTTGTAACTTCTAGAGATTATATGTATCTTTGTTTTCTGGTTTATGTCCATCTTCTCCACTGGACAGGGAGCTCCTTGAGGACCCTGTCTTGGTCACTGCCCCAGCCCTAGAACTTGCTGTGAAGCAGAGCCTGGAACAGACCAGGTGCTTAGTAATATTGGTTGCATGCATGAATGAATGAATTAATGAATAGGTTTTCCCCTTTTAGACATATTGGGAGATGAACCTGTGGTTTCCTATGCTCACTTTGACCCAGAAATTTGTGTCCTGTGACTCACATCCAGACCCCCAACACACACACACACAGACACACAGAGACACACACACAGAGACACACATGCAGACAGGCACACATATACACACCTTGGTTTGAAGAGAAGAGGGACCAGAAGAAACATTCTACACATGCCTATAGTGCACCACTGTGCATAGGTAACTGACGCCATGTAAGTACCCAAGGATTATCTCCATTTTATAACCAGAGAAACTGAGGCTTGCTCTCTGCTCTGTCCCCAGTGCATAGCACTGTGCCTGCATAAAACATCTGGTGAACCAAACTGTACTAGATTCAAGAGGCTCAGAAACCGTGCAAGGTCATCCAGCTAGCAAGTGGCGGAGCCAAAATCTGTGCTCAGGGCTGTTCAGTTCCCAACCTGCTGGGTAGCAGTCAAAGGCACCTGCAGAAACTCCAGGGACCTCGTTACCATCCAGACATGGTCTCGAAGGCAGGCCCTCACCCAAACACCCACCAACTGGCAGCTCAGATGCAAATTTATCCTGCACCTGAGGCTCGGGTCAACATGCCCAAGGGCCTCAGCTTCAGCAAACCTTGCTCCCTGGGCTGGCTGAGGCCTTTTCCTGCTCCAGCTGTTCTGGACCCAGTCCCACTCCCACACTTCCTGTCCCCTGTCAAAAAGAGGAGACACTAGTGACGAATACAATATTCTGTGAATGCCTTCTGACGCCAAATGTCACTTGCAAAAATTAGCCAGTTTTGAGTTATCTGTGGGGGTTCCTCTTTCCAATGCAGCTCATTAGGAAGACTCTGTAAAATTATCCTGCATCAGAAAGAGTTTGAATGACCATTCAAAGCCACAGCCAGTAGACTTTCACTGTAAAGAGTCAGGTAGGGCTGGGCATGATGGCTCACACCTGTAATCCCAGCACTTTGGGAGGCCAAGGCAGGTGGATCACTTGAGGTCAGGAGTTCAAGACCAGCCTGGCCAACATGGCAAAATCCCATCTCTACCAATTTTTTTTTTAATTAGCTGGGTGTAGCGGCAGGTGCCTGTAGTCCCAGCTACTTGGGAGACTGAGATGGCAGAATCATTTGAACCTGGGATGCAGAGGCTGCAGTGAGCTGAGATTGTGCCACTGCACTCCAGCCTGGGCTACAGAGTAAGACCCTGTCAAAAAAAAAAAAAAAAAAAAAAAAAGCCAGATAGTAAATGCTTTAGGCTTTGCAGGACAAGAAGTAAAATTAAGGATGTTATATAGGGGCTTTCAAATAATTAAATAATTTCATGTGTCAAAAAAGTACCATTCTTTTTTTTTTTTTTTTTCCAAACATTTAAAATGTAGCATCACTCTCAGCTTATAAGCTATGCAGAACTTATGGTGGGCCAGTTTGCCCCATGACCCATGGCTTGCTAGGCCCTAATTTAAAGCAATACTTTTTAAACTCTAATATATATAAAAATTTCCTGATACACCTGTGAAAGCAGTGTTTGGGCTCACACTCAGAGATTCTGATGAGCAGGTCTGGGTGGGCCACTGAACTTGCATTTCTAACTGATGGATTGATGGTGCTGATGCTTCCTGTCCACTGACCACATTTTGAGCAGTACTGATATTCTAAAGTGCCCATTTCATAGATGAGGAAACTGTGGCCCAGCTAAGTGGTATGTCCAGTGTTACATCCCATGGACTAGGTAATGACGTCTGCTCTGCCACCCCACAGGGCTGTTTTGCCACAGAAAACGCCTCTCCATTTCTTTAGCCCACTACTACTCTCATGCTTCTCAGCTATGTCCTCACTCCTCTCTCCGCCCCATGCCCACCCTCACAAACATAACTTTCCTATACAGATCAAGCTCTGGCATCAGCTCCAGTAAGGTATTTCCTGACCTCTTCAAATCTAAATGCTCCTTTCTGCCCCAGCATTCTATACATACTTGTGTCTAATATGTATAACTGTTTGTCTGTATGCCTTTGTTTTTGGTTTTTCAAAAAACCAAATGATGAATGTTTAGGTGGAAAGATGAATGGGTAGGTGGGTAGATGGATGGATGGGCAGGTAAGTGGGTGGACGGTGGGTGGATTGGTGTGTAGATAGATGCTGAATGGATAGATGGATGGGTGGATGGTAGATGGGTTGGTGGATGAATGAATACTCCTCATGATCTATTGCATGAAAATCATTTTCGTGGCAAGGTTGAGACTAGACCCCAATTCTGCTAGAGTCTATTCCATGGTGATCTATGATGGGACATACTGAACATGTAAACAGCAGTAGTTACATTTTATTGAGTGTGTGTTGAGTGTGCATTTATATGGTCGGCTTTGTACTAAGCAGTCCTGCCAATCCTCTCATCAACCCCTTTATTAGCTCCACCTTTACTACAAGAAAATGGATGCTCAGAAAGGTGGAGCAGCTTGCCCAAAGCCACACAGCACAACACATCCTAGCCCATCTGATTCTGTGCCAACTGCCTGTCACCTTTCCCACCCTCCACCAGTGTTCCTCACCCTCCCTGGCCCCGCCCCAGCTCTGCAGGCCCCCAGCTGGCCTCACCTCCATCAGCATAGGTCTCGGTGCCATAGCCGTCTTGCAGGCCATTGTTCCAAGTGCCCTCATACTTGGCACCGCTGCTTGAGCTCTGCCGGATCCCGTAGCGTCCCTTGAAGCCATGTGTCCACTCGCCTTTGTAGAGCCAGCGCCCCTTGGTCTCTATGCCCAGCCCATGTCGTTTGCCCTGGCTCCAGTATCCCTCAAACGTGTTTCCGCTGGGCCAGGTATAGACACCTGCCACTTCAAAGCCAAAGTTCCAGGAGCCAGAGTATTCGCCCTGGCCCTTGGGGCCTGTGCACAGTCCGTGCCCATGGGCCTTTCCCCCCTCCCAGCCCCCGCAGTACGCCCCACCATCATCAAAGTCGAAGCGGCCCCCGCTCATCTCATCATAGCCCCTGACAACCTCCGCGTCCTCCAGCGTGGGTGCAGAGGGCGTGGGTGATGCCGGCAACACTCCTCCAGTGCCTTCGGGGCCTGGCCCCCAGACTCACCACTGAGCCCCAGGAGGGGGAAAGCAGGAGGCCAGCAGAGGCTGAAAGAGCCCAGGCGCCAAGTCAGTACTGGGTCGGCTAGTCAGTGCCATGCCGGGGAGCCTCGACTCTACCAGCCAGAGCAAGGCTGCCTGCTGGGAAGAAAGCAGGAAGGAAAGGTTCAAAGTTCCCACAAAGAGTCCTAAGTCTGCCTTCCAAGAAGTCAAAGGGAAAACGGTGTGATCTCTTTAAGAAGTCCAGTGAATGGGTGCGGGGGAGGGGTCCCCAGCCTTTTCAAAGAGGGGAAATTCCCCTCGGTGACAGCCCCCGCCTGAGGCTGAATTCCCGAAGCCCGAAGCCCGCTGGCCCCCTTCTCCACCCCAGTGGGTGTGCGGGGCTGCTGGTCTCCCCGCCGCTGCCCCGCCCCCTTCTCCAATCCTGCCCTCCTCCTGGGACGGAAAGGTCAGTGTTGCCCTAACAAGGCCATTGGATCTCAGAAGCTGCTCCCAAAATAACCCCTGCCAGCCCAGCCTCCTTCAAAGCGGGAAGGAGGGGTATTTCAAATCGTGCCCGTGCCGCAGACCCAGCAGTGGCTGGAGGGCTGAGGAAGGAGGCTGAGAACTGAATGCAGGCAGCCCAGGGACCTTGGTGTCTTTTCCTGCTGGGAGTGACAGATCCCTTCCATTCTCAGAGACCTCTGGGTCTGCGGGCAGGGAGGGCGCCGGGGAATCGGGGAAGGGAGGAGAGAGGGAGACCGGAACGCCCAGTCCTGGAACACTGAAAATCCCCCAGAGCGAGGAGGTTGGCAGGTCTCAGCCCCACCACCACTCACATGCCCTAAGGGGACCTGGGGTTACCGCACCACTGCCAGCCCCATCAAGGAATCCGGTGACCTAAAGAGAAAGGAATGGAGACAGTTTCACATGTGCTCCCGAAAGCAGAGGAGAGAAGTCAGAAAGAGAGGTGAGGCTGTGGAAACAGTCTGAAAGATACATGAAATCTGAGTCCGGGGCTTGCGCACCACCCAGAACTCCCTCTATCCCAGGAACCCTGGGAGAACGCGGGGAGAACTCGGTGCAAGAAGCAATCATCTATTCCCTTTCTCTTTCCTCCGGAAGGGCAAGGAGCCTGTCCTCCTTTCTGCCTGAGACATAGACTGGACGTCCTGCTGGCTTCCTCTCCCCACCCCTTCATGCCCCTGCGCCTTCCCTGCTGCAGACCCAGCAGACCCTGAGGGTCAAAGGAGTCCCCTTCCTGTCAACCCAGGGTTGTGTTGTAATGAGGTCCTCTCAGAAATTCTCAAGGGTCATGATTTTTTTAAATGTCCCTTTCTGAGCTGTCTTTTGCTCTAGTGTCCCAGAAGCCTGTGAGGCCAGACTTCAGAAAGCTCTTGGGGCAGGGGTAGGAGCGAAGGGCCTAGGTGGATTCGCAGCCACTCAGGTTCCCACCAAACTCCAGTAAAAAGAACAAATAAATCTCCATGGCAAGAAGCTGTGGCCAGAGCTAATGGTGGTAAAGCCCAGCTAAGCCCAGAATTAATGCGAGTCTAGAGGAATTCTGGGAAAGGTAAGAGCCACCAAGACTACGAAGGTCTGTGTGTGTCTGTGTGTGGGAACGTGTGAGTGTGTAAGAGTGTGTGTGAAAGTGTGTGTTTGTGTTGTGAGTGTGTTTGTATGTAAGAGTGAGTGGGTATGTTGTGAGTGTGGTGTGTGTGAAGGTGTGTGAGTGGAAAAGTATGTGTGTGAGTATATGTGTGTGGTGAGTGTGTATATGTGTGTGATTGTGTGTGAATGTGTTGTGAGAGTATGTGGTATGTATGTGTGTGTGGTGAGTGTGTGTTTGTGTATGTGTGTGTGTGAAGACAGGGACTAAAGGGAAAGAGAGAACTAAGCACAGTACCTACTAGAGAACATTAGACAATTATCTGATTTTAAACTTGTCTGACATATTTCCAAACCCCATGATAACTTAGGCCACATAGTCACTGCAGAAGTCTTGTTCTTGTTCGGGAAGTGGGTAAAAAATGTTCCCTCCTTTCCTTCCAGTGGGTTTACCTGTTTTTAGGACTTGGTTTCATCCTGGGTCACAGCCCCTGACCTTAAAGAGCCCCTTCTGTACTTACATTTCACCAACAGGTGAGGCAGCCAGCCTCTTGGGCTCACTGTCACCATCCATTCGCCAAGCCGACGGGGAGCAAGTCATGGATAAAGACTGTGCCCCCTGGGTAGTCAGGCATGAGCCCTGGTCAGGTTGACTGACAGCTTGCACAATTCACTTCTAATAACACCTCAGGGCTACTCCCAGGGAGTTCAGCTTTTGCCACTTCTCACTGAGGTCTTCCGATAATCACAAATTTCTTTCTAGCTCTGCTCTCAAGGGAAGAGGGAAGAGCATCTGAAACTGGAAGCTAGGGGAGTTTGAGCCGTGGATTCAATGCTGTAATCATATGCTTGGGCCAGGTGGCCACTATTCATCCATAGCAGCTCCCTAGGGTGGCTCTACCCAGGGTTACTACACATAAGAATCACCCATAGAAATTAAAAACATGAAGAGATCCCAGAGCCCCACGTGAGACCTACTAAATTAGATTGTCCTGGGAGAAGACTTGGGCAGCTGAATTCTTTTAAAAGCTTCTCAGATGAATCTGATTTTCATCTCTGGTTAAAAACACCGTAGGTGGGGTATGGTGGCTCACACCTGTAATTTCAGCACTTTGGGAGGCCAAGCCTGAAGGATTGCTTGAGCCCAAGAGTTTGAGACCAGCCTGGAAAACAGTTAGACCCCACCTCTACAATTAAAAAAAATTTATAAATTATCCAGGTGTGGTGATGCATACCTGTGGTCCCAGCTACATGGGAAGCTGAGGCAGGGGGATTGCTTGAGTCAAGGAGTTGTAGGCTGCAATGAGCCGTATTTGTGCCACTGTGCTCCAGCCTGGGCAACCCTGTCTCAAAAAAAAATAATAAGTAGAAAACAATAAGAACAACAGCAACAAAAACCACTATAAGTTTTCAAATTAAGAAACTGTTTAATAACATAAAAATTCATGAATCCATTTACCGCTGGATGAGTAGTTTTGGAGTTAAGATATGTGTTCAAATCCTAGTCCTGCCCCTCACAAGCTGTGACCTCGGACCAATTGTCAATTTCTCTAAACTGCAAACTCTTCATCTGTAAAAGTTCCTACCTCAAAGGATTATCGGTATCAAGGATAACAGTACCTACCTTATATGGCTGGGTGAGAATTACAGAGTTAATACCGTGCAAAGGTTCAGGACACACTACACACATAATTAGTGTTAGCTCTTATTAGTATTACTCTCACATACTAAATTACTTTTCAGGCTTAATAAAATAGTCATCAAAGAGGGAAGAGAGAACCCCTCCTAAATATTAAATATCTTGACATCAAAGCACTCTTTATTCTTCCCAATTCAGGTTTTTCTACATTACTCTGTGGTTTCTCATTTTTTAAACTGCAAAACTAAGTTACTGGTAAAGGGATACTTTGACTTTGTAAAAGTTTAAGTAAAATTCTTTGCCAAATTTGGTACTGGCCTTACCTGCCCAGAGCTTTCTGACAAGCTACCATTTGTCCTGCCATTTAAACCAGTGTATTTCAGGGAAAGGGAGACCTCTTGTGGTGCTATATGAATTACAACAGCTTTTCCTCAGAAAAACCAAGTTCTTCAAATCCAATGGAATTTACTAAACTTGAAATATTAGTAGGGCAAGGTGGTGCATGCCTGTGGTCCCAGCTACTCCGGAGGCTGAGACAAGAGGATTGCTTGAGCCTGGGAGGTCAAGGCTGCAGTGAGTCGTGATCACACCACTGCACTCTAGCCTGGGTGATGGAGCAAAACCCTCTCTCTCTCAAAAAAAAAAAAAAAATTAATTAAAAACTAAATAGGCCGGGTGTCGTGGTTCACGCCTGTAATCCTAGCACTTTGAGAGGCCAGGGTGGGCAGATCACCTGAGGTCAGGGGTTCGAGACCAGTCTGGCCAACATGGCAAAACCCCGTCTCTACTAAAAATACAAAAATTAGCCGGGTGTGGTGGTGGGCACCTGTAAGCCCAGCTACTTGGGATGCTGAGGCTGGACAATCACTTGAACCCAGGAGGCAGAGACTGCAGTGAGCCAAGATTGTGCCACTGCACTCCAGCCTTGGCGACAGAGTGCGATTCCGTCTCAAAAATAAATAAATAAATTTGAAATAACTGTAAACTGGTTTTAAAGGTAGCTATCCTATTCTCTCTTCTTCCCAGATCTCTTCCCACTCCCTGGTTATGTTCCCTGGTCACTTTCTCCCTCTACTTCCTGCTCTACTTCTCAAGCTTGACTGCTTCTCTGGGAGCCTCAAAGGGAGAGAACTGAAAATCCATAGCGAAGAAGACTGTGCCCAGAAATCCACTGGAATTCTTCTCAGCCATGAAGGCTCAGCAGAGCGAGGCTTGCCTGCCCAGGAAGCTTTTCCAGGCATGTTTCCCTGCTGGGCTAGTCCTCTTCCCAAATGCTGGCTCCTCCCCCAAACTATGAGTTGTTTAAAGCAAGAATTTTCTTCTTGCCAAAAAAAGTAGTGGATAGTCCTGCAGTGAACATACGTGTGCGTGTATTTTCATAAGAGTGATTTATATTCCTTTGGATATATACCCAGTAATGAGATTATTTCTGGTTTTAGATCTTTGAGGAATTGCCATACTATCTTCCACAATGATTGAACAAATTTACATTCCCACTGAAAGTATAAAACCATTCCTATTTCTCCAGAGCCTTACCAGCATCTTTTGTTTCTTGCCTTTTGTAATTGCTATTCTAACTGATGTGAGGTGGTATCTCATTGTAGTTTTGATTGCTTTTCTCTAATGATCAGTGAATCAACCCAAATGCCCATCAATGATAGACTGGATAAAGAAAATGTGGTACATATACATCCTGGAATACTATGCAGCCATAAAAGGGAATGAGAGCATGTCCTTTGGAGGGACATGGATGAAGCTGGAAGCCATTATTCTCAGCAAACTAACACAGGAACAGAAAACCAAACATGTTCTCACTTATAAGTGGGAGCTGAACAATGGAAACACATGGACACAGAGAGGGAAACAGTGGGGCCTGTGGGCGAGGCGGGGTGCAGGAAGAGGGAGCGCACCAGGATAAATAGCTAATGCATACCAGGTTAAATTGACTTAATACCTAGGTGATGGGCTGGTAGGTGCAGCAAACCACCACGGCACACTCTTACCTATGTAACAAACCTGCATGTCCTAAACATGTACCCTGGAACTTAAATTATTAAAAAGCTTGAGCACATACTGTACAGTAGACATTGCAGCTCATCTGTGTCTACCCAGTGCCTGCACATAGTGGGTGATCCTGGTCCTCCCAGAGTCTAGCAGCTGATGACCCCCTTCTGAAATCCTTTTTTTTTTTTTTTGACAGAGCCTCACTCTGTTGCTCAGGCTAGAGTACAATGTTTTGCCATTTTGGCCAGTCTGGTCTTGAACTTCTGACCTTAGGCAATCCACTCACCTCGGCCTCCAAAAGTGCTGGGATTACAGGCATGAGCCAGCATGCCCAACCGAGGCTTAACCTTTTGAAAGAGCACTGGCTCCTATGTGCAGACTAAGGGAAGGCAAGGACAGTTAGGAGGCTACTGCAGTGAGCCAGGCAATGGGTTTGGTGGCCTGGGCACGTGGCAGGTGCAGGAGATAAGACGTGTTCTGGAATTATTTTAATCTAAATCCCTTCAGAGATTTGCTGACGGACTGGATTTAGGGTGTGAGAGAAAGACAGGAATTAAGGTTGACTCCAAAGGTTTTAATAAGTTTGGAGTCAGCTGAAGGGACAAATTTGCAAGTGGAAATTGAGAGTTTAGTTTGTTCTTATCAAATCTGAGATGCTCATGAGATATTTAGAAATGTTGCGTTTGTGGCTGGATGTCTGACTAAAGACCAGGAGAGAGGTGCGGGCTGGAGATGCAGACTTAGAAGTCACCGGGAGAGGGAGGTTATGCAAAGCCATATGACTAGAGACCTCAGAAATGAATGTAGATAAAGAAGACAGAGAACAAAGGTCTGGGACACTCCCAAGGTACAGAACTCAGGGGGATGGGGGAGGAACCAGTAAGGGAGGGATTCTATAAGTCAATTGAAAAAGGATTTCAGGGCTGGGCACAGTGGCTCACGCCTGTAATCCCAGCACTTTGGGAGGCTGAGGCAGGCGGGTGGATCACGAGGTCAGGAGATCGAAACCATCCTGATTAACACAGTGAAACCCTGTCTCTATGAAAAATACAAAAAATTAGCCAGGTATAGTACCTGCCTGTAGTCCCAGGTACTTGGGAGGCTGAGGCAAGAGACTTGCTTGAAACTGGGAGGCAGTGGTTGCAATAAGCTGAGATGGCACCACTGCATTCTAGCCTGAGCGACAGAGGGAAGCTCCGTCTCAAAAAAAAAAAGCAAAACAAAAAACAACAACAAAAAACAATTTCAGAAGGGGTCATCAGCTGCTAGATGCTGGGAAGACCAGAAGCACCATGTGCAGGCACTGGGTAGACACAGATGAGCTGCAATGTCTACTCTACAGTAGGTGCTCAGGCTTTTTAATAATTTAAGTTATATGGTACATGTTCAGGATAGGCAGTTTTGTTAGAGGTAAGTGCACCATGGTGGTTTGCCGCACCTATCAACCCATCACCTAGGTATTAAGCCTATTTGTACTAAAAATACAAAAAAATTAGTCAGACATGGTGGCGCACAACTGTGATCCCCACTATCTGGGAGGCTGACACGTGAGAATTGCTTGAACCCAGGAGGTAGAGGTTGCAGTAAGCTGAGATCTTGCCACTGCACCCCAGCCTGGGCAACAGAGCAAGACTCTGTCTCAAAAAAAAAAAAAAAGGTTAAGTCTGGTCATATCTCTCCTCTACTCCCCCAGATTGCTCCCTATCTCACTCAGACTAGGAGCCATTGCCTTTAAAATGCCCTACCAGGCCCTCCATGCTCTGTCCCCGCTCATCTCTCTCTGACTCCACCTGCTCAAGCTGCATTGACATCTTTGTGGTTCCTTCTGTCAAGAATGCCCCTCCCTCAGATGCCCCTGTGGCTCACTCTCTCAACTTCCTTCAGGTCTCTGCTCAAATGTCACCTTATCACAGCAGCTTCTCTGCCCACCCCAAATAGCAACCCTATCCCTAGCCCACCCCTTCCTGTCGGCTAATCCTTTTTCTCTCCATACTACTTACATATTTATCATCTTTTTCTACTGAGGACAAGAATATTGTTCTGCTTACTGTTCAATTCCCAGAATCTAGCACAGTGTCCCGTTGTGTTGTAGGTACTTGGTACTTATTGAATGAATGAAAACTTGTTAAATAAAGGCATGTGGAAATCAAGATGTTACTTTTTGGGAACATCAGAGTGAGACTTAATCCCTCAATCCCTAAACCGAATCCATTTTCCTACACATATCAGAGAAAGGAGATTAGCTTGGTAAATCACATTCACAAAAGGAAGTCAATTAGTGACCCTAATCTTAAAGTTGGCCCAATTGGATCTGAGCAATTTTTGACTTCAAGATTCATGTTTTGAGGAGGATTTTGCTGAGGTGTATATAACTTACAACTCGTACCCACAAACCTGGAATGTCTAAACTTTCATCCAAGTTGGATTTCGAGTTACTAGGTCATTGGAACTTTGCCCTTTTCAATCCTTATAACCCTCCTAACATCTCTGTATGAAAAGAACACGTATCATTCTTCCTTCTCTGGTGACTACTGGACTAATATACAGCATTAAGTAAAAATACAGCATTAAGTAAAAGACCAGATCATGGGCTTGAAAAGCAAACTAAAAAGGATTTAAAGGCTTAAGAACTTGTCTTAATTCAAAGAGCATGTTAAGCCCACCTAACATGAACTTGAATAACTCACCACTTAATTAAGTAGCTCCACAATAGCTCCACTCCTCCAGTTTTTTTTAAGGTGAGCCAAAACATTAGTTGTGGAGATGAGAGCGGGGTGGTACTTTTACAACCAGAAACTTAACTTTTGGTCTGGGGATCCGTGGAAGTCCCTGAGACCCTTTTAGGAAATCTGAGGTCAACATTATTTTCATGGTACTACAACATTACAGGTTGAGTGAGGTTCCCTGATCTGAAAAATCCAAAAATCTGATATGTTTCAAAATCTAGAATGTTTTGAGCGCTGACATGAGGATCAAAGGACACGCTCATTGGAGCAGTTTGGCTTTCAGAATTAGGGAAGCTGAACTGGTAAGCATGTAATGCAAATCTTTCAAAATCTGAAAAAAGCCTGAGATCTGAAACACTCCTGGTCCCAAGCATTTCATTCAAGGAATATTCAATCTGTTAGTTGCTTTTTTGACACTCTCTCACAAGTGTACAAGAGTTTGCGAGACCACACAATATGCGATCTCCCAGAGACTGAAACAGAAACATATGAGAATCTGTCTTCTAATTAAGCCAAACGTCAAAAAGATTTGCAAAAAGGTAGAACGATGCCACTCTTTGTTATTTTTTTGTAAAGCTATTTTTCATTAAAAATTTTTGTCAACTTGTAATGAGTTATCTTTAAATACTTTTAAAAGATCTTAATTTCTAATATGGTAAATATTAAAATATATCCTTTTGGAGATTATAACAAAACATTTCAGGTCTTAAATTTGTCAAAGAAGTGTTTACGTAGTTTTGAGAATTTCTGCCTTAGATATACCACATAGCGCACCTTCTGTCATTAAGAAACATGTCACAGCTTCTAGAGCTATAAGGTATTTTGCTCCCTTGCTTTAACCACACCCTTAAGATGTCACCAAATCCACAGTAAACCAATAACCAGCAGAGGACTCCCACTACTTAAGCTCAGGGTTTTTCCAGTAAATACCCTTCCCCTCTCCCCCAAGTACAAATCACCTATTTGTTGAAGCCCACCTCCCATTATCGTGAATCAACCATATAGCCAGTGCCATGTTTTAGCAAATAATATAAATGTATTTTGTAATTCAAACAAAAGCTTCTGTTAACATTATTGCTAACATGGCTAGACACTCACTAAATTTGGTGGGTCTGCTTAGGACGATGGTCTGAACACATGCGACATTCATTTTGGAGCCACCTGAAAAACAAGGATTCATCATCCAGCTGAAACCGAAGACAGATTTTTTACCAAACTGGAGGGAATTCTGAAATGGTTAACCAAATCTGTGGGATACAGAATGCACAAAATTCTCTTGTGGAGTTGCTGGAGTGATAGGGCAGCTCAGAGGTAACCATTTAGAACGTTTGCAACTAAGGTATGAGACCTGTATTACAAGTAACAAAAAAACATGCCATATATACTTTAAATGCTGGAGTTGAAGACACACACTAGTTTCAAGTATTACACCCCCTCCCTCCAAGTGAAGCAGCCCATTCAAAGCTGCTTACTTGAAACTGCATGCCACATGTCTCAGGATGAACAGCACCAACAAGGGCTTCTTTAGTGATGGGTAATAACTCTCTCAAACAATAGAGGGCAGGCCAGCTAGTTTATTCAAATGGAATCTAAACCTTAGATCTCTGGCTTAACAATAACAGGAGAAACCTTTATAGACACAGTAAATCTTGCATTAAATCAGAGGTGGTTTAAATCAATCTTGCAACTTCTAATGTTCTGGGCTGGCAACTACAGCATGACAAATGTTTAGTGCAGTTACAAAATCACATTGTACTTTCCTTGGCTACCAAACCTTAAACAAATCCGAAAAATGTACCGTTTCACAAAGGCTTTACCATATACCCGCTGCTGCCAGTCTCAAGTAATTATGGTTTCTTCATTCCCCAGGAACATTTCTAAATAAGAGGATTTTTCTTTGATCTGCTCACCTTGAAGTGTATAAGAACTCAGAGAGTAAGTTTAAAGAATGAAGATTAACTGAGATGCCAAGAAAAGTTTTTATTGTAAGCACAGTGAGCAGAGAGAGATGTCTTCTCACACAAAGTGGCCACAAGGTCTGCAATTAACTAAATCTCTTTGACAAGCCTTCATTGGTTTAAAGCATATGAATTAGCTTCTTGCTATCAGGTGTACATCATTTCTGCCATGTGGGACATTTTCTTGGGAATATACAAGTAATACTCCATGTAGCCTGACAGGTCCTCAATGGTCACATCATCCACAAAGACTCGAGCTTGCTCCGAACAGGATCGGGGAGAGCCAGACAGAGTTCTGGTGTGCAGCGACTGAGAGTAGTCCTCAAGTGTGGATCTTCGTTCTGGAGCCAAGGGAGGGACATTCTGCAGGCCTGAAAAGGAATAGACTTCCATATCATGCCATCTCTTACACTGGCACTCCTTGCCTATGCATGTGCATGGCTTGCCCTGGTTTAGCTTAGAAACTGATTGAAAGTCAGAGAGATCACTGGCTTTGAGACTTGCTTGTGAGACTTGGGTAGCGTCAGAGGAGTCTTCCTTCTTACTCTCTGATGGGAGCCTTGGAACAGAAGTTCTCAAAGGCTCAACAACTGCCCCTGTGTGATTAGCATCGAGAGAAGTTGTGCTTTCTCCCGCACTGAACTCTTTAGGGGTTGAAATTCCCAGCCCACTGCTCCCATCAGGGGTGTCAGTCTGGCTTTTGTGCTTGAGTTGACTACTGGAAGAAGATGCTATTGTACTGCAATGTATAAACTTTGGAGGATGAAGGACAGGTGACTTAGAACGTCGACGACGCTGAGTTCTCACTGCTCCTCGTGAAGTCTTCCTTGTAGACCTAAGAGGAAAATAAATACACAAGAAGATGTTGAGATACAGAGCTGTCCTCAACAGATTCTTTATGAGAGTAGGAAAGTTACCTCCCCTCAGATTTATGAGTCTAAGGTCATAATTTCCTCCAAGAGATGCAGCTGCTTCTATTTCCATGCTGCCTAAGTATTTGTGTCTCAAAAACTTCAACATCATCTTATTAGCAAGCAAAGAACCAGGTGAGATAATGGTATTTTTTAACTGAATCACTTGGGCCAAACATTTGGAACTGAACACATGCCTTGTCCCAACTCTCAGAGGGTCTGAGGAAAGTACCTCAGACAGACAACTGAAACAGATTCTGTAAAGCCTAAATATAGTGCCCTAAACTTGAATATATTCTATATGCTATAGCAGCTTCAGAACCACTGTGAGGCTGTTACAAATGACCATTATGCCATTACTATTACATAGATTTCTGATTCATTTATCATTGGTAACAGCCAATCATCCAAAACCAACCAAAAAACTAACAATATTTACAACCCCTGAGGTTGTAAATATTTCAGATACTGAGAATTACTGGACACACTATGTAAGATAACTATTCATAAAATATTTAAATAAATTAAAGAAATGAACGAACTTGAAACTGCTAAGTGAATCAGAGACAAGAACCAAACAGGACACTGAAAAACAAAAATATTTTTATTTGGAATTAAACTAAATGAATAGGCTAAACAGAACACAGCAGTCCCATCTTAACCATAGCTTCACTTTCTATAGTTTCAGTTATCTGCAGTCAACCTTGGTCTGAAAATATTAAATAAATTCCAGAAATAAGCAATTCATAAGCTTTAAATTACGCCCATTGTGAGTGGCATGATGAAATCTTGCACGATCCTGCTCAGTCCTACCTGGGATGTGAATCGTCTCTTTGTCCAGGGTATTCACACTATATATGCTACCTACCTATCAGTCACTTAGTAGCCATCTTCATGATCAGATCAACTATCATGGTACTGCAGTGCTTGTGTTCAAGTAACTCTTATTTTACTTAACAATGGCCCCAAAGTGCAAGAGTAGTGATGCTGGCAACGTGGGTATACCAAGAAAAGCCATGAAGTACTTCTGCTGTGATTAGAATGTGTCACCCAAAAGTTCATGTGTTGTAAACTTGGTCCCCAGTGCATCAGTGCTGAGACCTTTGGGGGTGACTGGGTCTCGAGGGCTCTGCCTTCAAGAATGGATTAATCCATCTACAGATTAATGTATTAAACGGTTATTCGGGGAGAGGGATAGTTATCAAAGAATGGCTCTGTTATAAAAGACAGTTTGGCCATTTCTCATGAGCCCATTGCCACGTGACATCCTTTCCCATATTACGATGCAGCAATGAAACACCAGATGCTGATGCCGTGCTCTTAGACTTCCCAGCCTCCAGAATTATAAGAAATAAGTCTCTTTAAAAATTACCTAGTCTCAGGTAATTTTTAGGTATTGAGTTATAGCAACAGAAAATGAACTAAGAGGGCTTTAAGTGAAAAGGTGAAAGTTCTTGACTTAATAAGGAAAACAAATCATATACTGAGGTTGCTAGGATCTACAGTAAGAACAAATCTCCTACCTGTAAAATTGTGAAGAAGGAAAAACAAATTTGTGATAGTCTTGCTGTTGCACTTCAAACTGTGAAAGTTACAGCCACAGTGCATGGTAAGTCCTCAGTTAAGATGGAAAAGGCATTAAATTTGTAGGTGGAAGACATGAACAACACGTGTTCTGACTGATGGGAAATGGGTTTGATATTGTCTTGCAGTTTCAAGTCCACTGGGGTTCTTAGAATGTATCCCCTATTAATAAGGGGGACTTGTACAGGCAGCTAAAGAAAGAATTACTGACTGGAAAATAAATCTGAATTATTTCTAACAAAGGCCAACAAACTATAGTCTGTGGGTCAAATCTGGCTCCCTACCTGTTTTTGTACAGCGTATGGACACTGCTCCAGTGGGCTAGCACTGCAAGTCACAGAGACTGGGCTAGGGCATCCTCCCCTGCCCTATTCTCCCTGCCTGCCTTCCTAGCCAATGGACATGTTGCACCACTGCCCAGCACCCACACTGGCTAACAACTACATGTTGAGTCTCTACTGTTGGCAACTGCTGATCATTGAGAGGCAGAATCTCAGTTCAAGACTCCAGCCAGTGCTGGGAGCTCTGGAGAAGAAAAGAGCATGCGGGGATCTGAGTGTCACTGCGACAGAGAGTAAAACTGACCCTGGCACTACCTGCTACCCACCCATTCCACAAGGTTCTCCTTTCAGGCTAGTCACTTCATCCTGAGACTGTCTCAACAACTGAAAACAAAATGTGTCCACCAGCCAGGATGGCCAACCCCAGGCAAACAGGGTAGGGTAGGAGGTTTCTCTCTTATATAAGCACTTATTAATATCCTGGGATTTTTGCTTCTTGGCCTCCAAAGCCTAAAAAATTTACCACATGGTGCTTTACAAAAAAACTTTGCCAACCCCTGACCTAAAAGGCAGTATAGAAACAAGGTTTTGGAAAAAATGTAAAAGTTAAGAGAGATGAGAGTAATTCTGGAATCTTGAATAAATGTATATAGAGAACAGAGGACAATGACTTTTAAAGACGCAATGACTGAGAAATTTTCTGAATTGATAAGAGAATCTATGAATGCAGGAAGTACACTAGAGCAGGACAAATAAAAAGAAATCCACATAGATATGCTCTAGCAAAACTACAGAATAGCAAAAACAACAAGATCTTGAAAGCAGCCAGAGACTAGAGAGATTTCCAAAATAGTAACGATTAGATTGAAGGTATGCCTTTCACTATCAATGTAATGAAACCAGAAGATAATGAACTATACCTTGAAGTGCTAAGAGAAAATAACTGTTAATCTAGAAATATAATGTCAACAAGTATATCAACTTTATCTTTCAAAAACAAGTATGAAATAAAGACATTTTCAGATAAATGAAAGCAAAGTACAGTTGGTCTTCTGTATCCATGCATTCTACACCTATGGATTCGACCAACATCAGACTGAAAATATCCAGGAAAAAAACAATTCCACAAAATTCCAAAAAGCAAAACTTGAATTTGCTGTGCTCTGAGTACTATGCTGACTCCATGTGAGTGAAGTGTTGTGTAAGCATTGTGGTGGATATTACAAGTAATCTAGAGTTGATTTAAAGTATACAGGTGAATGAGCATAGGTAATATGCAAATCCTACACCATTCTGTCTAAGAGACATAAGCATCCTCAGATTTTGGTAATGAGAGGGGCGTGTGAGTGGGAATGACCTGGAATCAACCCCCGTGGATAGAGATGATTGTTATTTATCAATAGGACATGATGTCACTTAACATCGGGAGCACCTTTCAAATGTATCCTATATCGAGTTACACAATGCAGAGGTCCTATTTAATAGCAATAAACCTTCACTAAAGAAGCTATTTTGGGAAAAAAGTGAGTGTATATGGGAGGTCTGAGGTGAAAGCATGCTGAGCAAACAAATTATAAGCAAGTAGATAAATCTAAATAAATACTGTCTGCTTAAATAATAATAAAACCTCGTTTGTGAGACAAAAAATAAGTAACATAACTAAAATATTCGGCAACTACATCATGGAAGTCAGGAGATCACAGGAAAAGGATTCTAAGGAGAAGGGCTAAAATACTATTAACTTTTGTCTTTGTTAAAAACATGCATGCTAAAATCAAGGCTAACAACTACTGAAAGAATAGAAACAGACTGTAATCCCAGCATGGGAGGCCAAGCTGGGCAGATCACCTGAGGTCAGGAGTTTGAGACCAGCCTGACGCACATGGTGAAACCCCGCCTACTAAAAATATAAAAATTAGCTGGGCATGGTGGCAGGCACCTGTAATCCCAGCTACTCAGGAGGCTGAGGCAGGAGAACTGCTTGAACCTAAGAGGCAGAGGTTGCAGTGAGCTGAGATGGCGCCATTGTCCACCATTGTACACTAGCCTGCGTGACAGAGCTAGACTCTGTCTCAAAAAGAAAACAAAGAAAAAGCAAAAGAATAGAAACAAAGTGTGCCATTTCCAAACCACTAGAGGGAAAAAACAAACAAAATCCTGGCAAACAATTGTTTTTAAAGGAGGAGAGGCAAGGTGAAAAAAGAAAAAAAGAAAAAAAAAAAAAATAGAAGAAAAGCAGGACAAAGGGAAGGAGGTAAAAAAAGAAAAAAAGCAGGACAAATAAAGTAAAATGGCAGAATCATGTCCACATATATCAATAATCAAATAATGTAAACGCACTAAACTCAGCAGCTAAAAAACTGATGATCAAATTGAATAAATCAGAAAAAAATAAAACCCAGTCATAAACTATTTATATGAAACATACTTAAAATTTGAGAACACAGAATGCTTGAAAGAATAGAAGGCTGGGTGTGGTGGCTCATGTCTATAATCCCAGCACTTTGGGAGGCCAAGACAGGTGGATCACTTAAGGTCAGGGGTTCAAGAGCAGCCTGGCCAACACGGTGAAACCTAATCTTTACTAAAAATACAAAAATTAACCGGGCGTGGTGGCAGACACCTGTAATCCCAGCTACCTGAAGGCCAAGGCAGGAGAACTGCGTGAACCTGAACTCTAGTGTGTGTGACAAAGTAAGAGTGAGACTCTGTCTCAAAACACACACACACACACACACACACACACACACACACACAAGGGAAACACTAACTAGAAGAAAACTTTAAGACAAAAACCATTATGAGGGATTAAGAATGTCACTACATAATAAAAGTTTCAATTCAGGAGGGAAACATTCTAAACCTGAATAAAACTATGCTATAGAACTCTAACAAAATAACCTCAAGAGACATAAAGCAAAAATATAGAATTTAAAGGGAAAATAGACAAAGTCACTTCCATGGGGTATATTTCAACACACATCTTTATTATTTGTAAGTCAAGTTGACCCAAAAATTGAAAAAAAGTTCAACTAACACATTTAGAAGTCATTTAATGAACGTAGAACCTGAGAACAATTAGAGAAGTCCCAATCTTCTCAAATACACACAGAATATATATAAAAATTGATGATGGACTAGGCCAAAAGAAAGTCTCAGCAAATTCAGCAAAAGAAGGATTAGGTCTTTCTCTGATCATTGGGTTTTAAGTTCTGTATCATAACCTACTCTTTTCTGGACACTCAGGAAAGAAATTCCAATAATGTTTTATAACAACCAAATAAAAATCATTTCAGTAAGAAGCTCTTACCCATGCCAACTGTCTTTAGATACACATGTGGTTTTAGGTTTGGGATCGTCTGTTGCTGTTCTGACTGGTGCTCTGACACCTGTGCCTTCTCCAACAGACAGAGATGCTATGGACCTGAAGACAAGAACAAAGTTTATGGCTATAGAAAACTGTAAAATGAGGAGACTATATTGTTATCACTAACTCAAATTCAACATTTATCAATACATCTTTTTCTAGTTTAAGTTTCTCAAACATTGCTTAGCTTTTAGTGTGACTTTTCCTTCAAAATCAAATTTTGAGGATCCCTAAAAGCCCATGATTGCAAAATCATAAGCCAAAGAATGACTGGTAAGTATACCCAGCAGCAGGATATAAACAGACTTTCAGACTGTTTCTATGGGGCAGATCAGGCCTTATGGCCAGAGAATGCTAATGACACTGATGAGTCTCGTTTTATGCAGGCAAACGAGAGTCATGGAACTAAGTTTAGAAGCAAAAACATTAGGAGACTCCATCTAACTTAGAACTGAATACATTTTCAAATATTATTCAACTTTTAGAAAAATATTTTAATTTTTGCAACTAATAAACTTGAAATATTACTCAGAGTTAAATCCTTGTGGTTTAAAATTATACAGATAACATGGGTTCCCAGTAAAGAACACGAAAAAATCTAAAAGCAAGAAAAACAGAATCATCCGTAACCTTACAACCCAGAGACTACCAACATCGAACATTGGTGGAAATCCTTTTGGACTTTTTCCACATACCACACACACATATCCCTCCTACTATATGTGCCATATCGTTGACAAAAATTCTTTTTCTAGAAAGAAACATTAATCTACAAAAATAATGTTCAATGAAACATAAAGTAAAAAGTAACTGGGAATAACCTAAATATTTAATAGAAAAAAATACTGTATTTCTAAATTATGGCGTATCTATACAATGAAATGTTGGGAATTTATTAGAAATTAAGTGTACAAACTATACATACATATGATCTCAACTATGTAAAATAAGTATAGGCTACCATGAACCAGTGGTCAAGATGTTAACAGCAGTTATAGTAAACTGTGATTTTTACTTCCATTTTTATCCTGTTTTGTTTTTGTAAATTTTTCTATAATAAGCATGTATTGTTACAGTCAAAAAGGATATTGTTTTGTAATAAATATATAGAGATTTGTCCTAGTAAGACAAATACCATTAAGGAATCAAAACCTGTTGAACAGGATCATGCTAAATTCCTGGCAAGGCTTGGTTGGTTTATGAGTCAATCCCTCAGATGTCCCACTTCTAAACTGGCAACAATATAAAACAACTAGAAATATATGACACACTACTACACAAGTCTTATTCTGCTTAGTCATGCTAATGATTCACCCTTTCTCTTACTTTGTTTTCTCAAATGTTCTCCTTATCTTCTTATAATTTTATTCAAGGCAGAATACATGCAACAAATATATAATTTTTTTAATTTCAGCTTTTATTTTAGATACAGGTGATACATGTGTAGGATTGCGCATGAGTGTATGGAACTCAGGTCGTGAACACAATACCCAATAGGTAGGTTTTCAACCCACATTCCGCTTCCACCCTCCCCACTCCAGTAGTCAAGTAGGGTCTATTGTTCCCACGTTTATGTCCATGTGTGCTCCATATTTAGCTCCCACTTCTAAGTGAGAACATGTAGTATTTGGTTTTATAAATATATAATTTTTGACCATATATTTTGAAAATTTAAAAAACAATGTTTTAAGTAATTTTTAGGGATACCAAATGACTTATTTTTACTTTTTTGTTTGTTTTTTTTTTTTGAGACAGGGTCTCACTCTTGCCCAGGGTGGAGTGCTGTGGCATGAGCTCAGCTTACTCCAACCTCCACCTCCTGGGCTCAAGTGATCCTCCTGCCTCAGCCTACAGAGCAGCTGGGACTACAGGCATGCACTACCACAACTAGCTAATTTTTTGTTTTTTCTGTAGAAAAGGGGTTTTGCCAGCTTGCCCACGCTGGTTTTGAACTCCTAGGCTCAAGTGATCTTGCCCAGCTTGGCCTCCCAAAGTGCTGGAATTACAGGCCTGAGGCATCATGCCCAGCCTGGCTTAATTTTCTATTTCAACTTCTTAAAACGTCAAGAAAAGTCCGTGTATCAAGAGTTACTTACATAAATTTACACACTAAAAGATTTATATGTATAATTGTGTGTATAAATGTCTAGTATTTTCCTGATTTAAAAAATTATTCCTATACAAGAAATCACAAAGGATACACTGCAGCCACAATCTGGAACAATCTGCTTCTCTGCTTTGCTTCCGTTTCCCAAGACAATTTATCAAAGTATTGATATGAACTGGCAAGATGACCATATTAGAAAACTATCGGGAGAAAAGGTGTTTTTGAAGTGTCATGGAAGCAAACATGAGCATCTATAACTCTACTGCACAAATCTATCAGCAAAAAGCTTCTCATTTGATACACCAAAAACAGTACCAGTAATAGGCAAGTGACTATATCAACAACTAACATCTATTTAATTTTTACTTTGTGCTACGTACTGCATGCATTTCTTCATACTGTCTTCAAGGTACCACATAAAGGATGGTTAAGAACGCAAGTTCTGCAGACAGGCTGTCTAGGTTCAAATCCTGGCTCTGCAACTTCTTACCAATGTGACTTTTAGCAAGTAATTTAATTTGTGTGAGTCTCATCTGCAAACTGAAATGACACAAGTATCCATCTCCTAGGGTGGTAGTGAGGATTAAATAATGTCCACAAAGTACTTAACCCAGTGTTGAGGACACACTAAGTGAATAATAAACATTAATGATTATTATTATTACTTGTGGGGTGTTCTACTTTGAGCTTTCAGTGTTTAGTTTCCATTCATGAAAAGAAAAATTCTTATATTCATTAAAAATGTTAGTTCTTTTGGCCTGGGAGAAAACGCTGGGGTGAAGAGTTTTTTCACAAAATGTTACACAGAACATTTTGCAAAGGGTGAAACATTAATATTCAGACAGCAGCTGGTATGCAGGTGCTCTAATTAGTTTGGCCAAAGGGTCCAAGATTATTGATCTCTGTGACAGAACCCTACTGAATAGAGGTTTCCATAGTGATAGGCTTAGCAATCACAGACCATGAAATCTACAATGTCTTCATAGATTTCTATTGGGCCAACCAATTTAATGAAAAATACTATGATTCCTTTGAGACACATGATAAAATCCCTGATGGGATACTGCTTGATAATCTTTGATTAAAAAACCCTCTTCAAAGTTAACAAAAACCAAAACACCCAAGTTAGGAAGGCAAATGAACTGCTACTTTTCAAATTTAATCAAAGGGTTTTTTATTAAAGTAAAAAAAATACTGTGCAGAATCTGGAAGAATGTCACACTATTAGCATTTATATCTTCTTTGAATAATGAGAAATATTAAAAGAGGAAAAGCTTTTTAGGGAAGAGTGACTATCTAAAATGTGTAAATAATTCCAAATAATAATACATATTTAGTTACCCTGATGCATCCACTCTTAATTTCTTGAAAGCAGTCTGTAGACTCTCCTCCTCTCCATCTTTGGCTTCAGATTTCATTGTGTAAGTTTTTACACTATTCAATGTTCCTGTTAACATTAAAAAAGAAAATGAAGTGAGCAAAGTAAAAACAGGCGGGATCAAAAGTATACCTTTTGTTAAAAATTTATATTTCTGTTACCATTACTGTTAGAAGAAAAAAAGCAAATTTGTAAATTTGTATTTCTAAAAGGAAGTTTCAGTGTAGATAACTGAAGACCGTAGGTTTCATTTATTAAGGGGAAACAAATAAAATGATACCAAAAAATGGGTATGTACTATGACAGAATATAAACCGTTCAAATAATTGATGCCAATATCCTATTACACAATTTTGGAAACCAGATGACCTAAAATCTATGTTTCAGTACACATACTTTTTAACAGTGGAAATCTCCCCAGTTGGTCTAGAAACCTATGGACAAAATGACAAGAGAAATAAAAGAGAACAGCTCAAATCATAGCACTCTGATTCTTTAAAATGACACTGTTTGTCTGGCCCAACCCTAGTTGAGTACAACTTCATGACACAGGATAGCATTTCTCTAAAGCAATCCTGACCCAGACAGCTATGTTCAGGAAGACATGTTTTAGAGAACAAGATGTTACCACTGTTGAAGCAGAATTAGAAATATACTCTACCAATAAGGTTGATACTTCATTTTGTGTTTTTTTTTTTTTCCATAGCCTGGAGTAGTATAATTGTTAAACAATTAATGAACTACACTTGTGACCCCCCCAAAAAAATTCATTGTGCATGAGTGAAAAAAAATTTCTTTAGCCAGAAGGTTGAAAGAAAAAAATATAAACTACTATTGTGTAGACTCTTAACTAATCTGATTAACCGAAGTCCTCCATATTTTCCACCTGATTTTTATCTTTAAACAAAGAAAGGGAGAAGAATCAACCAAAGCAACAAGAAATGCAACAGAGAAGTCGACTAATAAATAAATCCTTGAATCTAGTCTCCAAATTATTTTTTTCACTCAGGGTTATTAGAACCAAATCTTGAATAAAAATAAAGCAAACCATCATCTATGAACACTATCAGAGAGAATCAGAAAGAAAAAGTACAACAAAAAAATAGAAATAGAGGGGTTTTTTTTTTTTTTGAGACAAGAATCTTGCTTTGTCACCCAGGCTGCAGTGCAGTGGCACAATCTCAGCTCACTACAACCTCCACCTCCCAGGTTCAAGCGATTCTCCTGCCTCAGCCTCCCCAGTAGCTGGAACTAAAGGCGAGTGTCACCACGCCCAACTAATTTTTGTACCTTTAGTAGAGATGGGGTTTCACCATTTCTAAGCTGTTACCCCCCACCCCTTTCCACCCCATCCCGCTTAGGCATTCTTAGAGGGAGCAATGCCTCTCCACTGGCTTTTGGGTCCTCTCTGATTCATAACTGCTGGTTTCTCAGGGTGGCTCCGAAGTTATTGAGACCGCTAACATTCCAAGGTCAAGGTGTCATAATGTTTGATATAATGTAACCATGTAGTACCAGCAGCAAAATAAAGAGGCAAGGAATCAGAAGTTCTCACTTATTTATTTGCAGAAGTTAAGGTATTGTAAGCAGAGCTCTCTGGGGAACACTGAAAACAGTCTCAAAATAATTCAGCTACTAAAAAAAAAAAAAAAAAAAAATCACCCAGCCTGCACCTCAACTTCTCAGGACAAAAATAATAATAATAATAATACACTCTTCACATACATTTTGCTGGTTTATTTAAGTACACGAACATGAAGAAACACTATCCACACAATCCCATGCACAATAAACTCCTATATACCTGGGGCAAAAGGTGAGCAATCACTTATCCAGTATTTTCAAAGCTTCACATCATCTAAAAAAAGGACTACGGTAAGTTGTAAACAAATTATTCCTGCTGATAGAACTAAATTGAGGTTTGACTTACAGTGTTCCTCATTACCTTATGACCCATTAGTCAATGTTCAGCCCTTACAGAGTTAGCAAATCATCTGAGCCAATCTCCCCAACTCGCAGACCCCACATAAGTCCTCTTTAACCCTCTCTGGAAATCAGTCAACATATTTATGTACACGTCAAATTTAAGTATACACTGCTGAATCCTACAGGCAGAAATTCATTTCTTCCACACATATTTACAGAATTCCTACCACGTGCATGATACTAGACCGAATGCTAGGGACAGAAGCCTAAACTCCATTTCTGTAAGGCCTAGAATCTCATTCCTGCGCTCCCAGAGCTTACAATGTTAACACTGCGCTAAGAGGCTCTGAACCCACAGACGTAACTTCTAATTATACCATGCTGACTAATAGCATGGCAGGTGATCACACTAGATGTTAATACAAACTTTACATTCCTGTTGACACACTAAAAAAATCTATCATCTAAAAAGCAAAACAGGCCAAAATTATAATCTGGCTATAGACTAAAACTTCAGGGATGAAGTTCTGTCCAAACGATTTTCAGACTTTCAGCATTTTTGACTACTCGCCTTGTTTCTGTTAATTTAGCCCAGAGCAAAGGTGTTAGGCGTAACTTTAAGAGCTAGAGGAGAGCATGTTTGTAATTATAAAAAGCTCACTATGCCCCTCTGCATCCCCAGATCCCCATTCACTGAAAGCAAGGGCTGTACAACTAACTGGACAACAGATATAACTGGCTGGCCCTTCGTCATTAATATTAAATTTGTGGGAGACAGTCTTGGCGTTTTCACTGCAGTGAACTCTTAAAGTTGAACGATCTCCAGAGATGAAACTTTAAAGCCTATTCCAAGTTACTTTGTGTTAACTCAAACCACACTGGGCAATTTAACTGTGCCTCGGATTTTCCACAACCTTACAAAAATTACAAAGTTCTTCGAAGTTCCTCCATCAAAAGGACAAATTCCTGGTTTTTCTCTTTCAACGAAAGAAATGCGTCACAATCTTATTTGTATCTTGCCGTTTTAACCAAGACCTCCTTGAATCTCAAGTCTAGGTCTACATTTCCAGGCCCCTGAGAAGACCAGAGAACGATTAATAAGGGATGCGCGGGTAAGCGTTGTCATCACAATGTTAAAGATATCGAAACTCCCAGACCACCAGGAAGCGCTGAGTACGGGAAAGAAAACCCTGCCCAGCAACTCGAATAGACAAACTAGACCGGTAGAAAACAATCGGTCCCCAGGACAAAAAGCACATTCACACCTTCCTCTGCAACCTACTCATCCCTTTACACTCGCAGTGCTGCAACCAAAACACGAAGTTATTTCTTTTCATCCGGAGTGTGGACCTGTCGCGGTTAAACATGAACCGAGGAAAATTCCTGCTCAGAACCCGGGGGGAGAAGGCGTCGGAGAGGACCGGACTGTCCAGGGGCTCCGCCCGTCAGGGGTCTCCAGCTGGCAAGTTGCGCTCCTCGGGAGATTCCCGGTGTCAGAACGAGAGGCTGGAGTCGGAGCGAGGCACAAGGGATGCGGGAGAAGAAACGAGTGGGGCCGAAGAGGCAGCCAACGAGAATGGGGCTACGAGGAGAGCGGGAAAGGGCGGCCAAGGAGGGCGAAAAGGGGAAGCTGCCGCTGGGCGGGAGACGGCGGAGGAGCGGAACGGGGCGGGGGCCGCGGGAGGACAGAAAGGCGGGAAGGGGAGAGAGCGCGGAACTCGGAACTCCAGCAGGTACAGGCCGCGGCGGAGGAGGGGGCGCGGAGAGGCCCAGGCCTAGCCCAGGGAAACGACGCGACTCGAGGCGGGCGGGCCCGGAGAAAGCCGCCCGCGGCCCGGCCGGCTGTGGAGGCCGAGACGCGGTACCGTGGCCGCTCTCCCTCACGTCAGGGCACTTACCTCCTCGCAGCTGGGGCACTCGAGTGATCCGACGCCGTCAGTTCCGAGCTTTTCTCCCGAATCTCGGCTCCCGACTGACCCGGATCCAAACCCGCCAAGAGGGCGGCCCGCGCCTCAGGAGTTGCACTGAGCCTGCGCATTCCCGTCTGCGTCCCGTCCCCCTACTCATGCTCCTCCCACCCCAGTGAGTCGGCAGCGCGGCAGGCGACGGCTACGCAGGCGCAGGACGGCGCCCGCGCCTCTCTAATGCCCCGTACCCGCCCCCTTCGGTAGCACGTGCGCATTACATCATTTCCTGTTATTCTTCGGGTTTTCTCCTCCCAGTGGCGTGGGTTTGCTCCCGGCCTGCTTTTGGGGCGTGCCTGCTTCTTCCTCTCTGTCAGATGAGCGAGTAGGCGCCAGGCAAGCAGTCGCCCTCTGCCTCCACCGCCCTGGGGTCTCCTTGTGCTTGGTTCTCACTTGAAGTCACCTGTGCAGCGGAATTCTGCGGAGCCGGGGCGAGGACAGGGTGCGGGGGTCTTTATGGCAGCGGATCCCCGGCTGAGCGCTTGGCCCAGTGTCTCTGTGATGCTAGAATCTGGACTGCCTGCGACCTTTCCTGGTCTCGGACACCAGCCCTCGCCTCCTGGTGATCTTTCAGGGCCTGCAGAGAAGCGAAGAGGTGTTGAACGTCGCCAGGGCCATTCGTGTGAAGCCGGAATTAGAATTGAATTGAAATGCCTTCGCTTTTGATATCACTGCTGTTTGTCATGAGCCAACTGCTTTTCCTTCTCTGGGCCTCAGTTTTCCGTCTAGTAAGTGAGGAAGTTGGACCTTATCGGTGAATCGTTCTTTTCAGGTGTAGACTCCTTTGAGAATCTAGTGAGAACTGTAGACCCTCTTGCCAAAGAAATGCACCTACACGCCAAATTTTGCAGAAAGATTTAGGCAGTTCACCTAAGGAGATGAATTTGGGGGCTCTTTACGTTTTTCTGATTCTGAATGTTGCTCAGGTGGCAAGCGGGAAAAGGTGATTTGTGCAACAGCTGCCACCCGCTCCATCACCAGGACTGGTTCTGCTGATCTAGCTGTGCCTCTCCTCGCCTGCCAGTCCCCGGCTCCACGTCCTCACTTCTCAACGCTTCATGAAAGCGGATGAATTTGCTCAGTAGAGTCGGCTAGCGTTGATTGCGGCCCACGCGTAGAGTGACGGTTTTTCCCTGAACCAAACTGGCCCCTTCCACCATCATTCATTCCCCAATACTTTAGTTGTAGTCAACTAACTAGATAGGCTACCGAAGATGGTTTAACTGTGTTCAGCCTAACTACAGCCAGGCATTGGAATGCCTGGCCTATGTCTGTAAATGAAATTTAGCAATTTATTGTATAATGTTGTTAAACACGAAGCCTGTAGTTGGCCCTGGGTAAAATATTTTAAATTCTCATCTTTCATACCAGAGGCTCAGTAACTGACGGGATGAAAGAAAGAAAGCTGTTCATTGTATTCATTGTAACCTAATGAGGCTAATTCGATAGCATTAGATGACATTAGAGATTAGATAACTTGTTCTAGCTGCCTTTGTCCTTTGTCACATAGGTCTAGTAAGTCAGGATTTAAACTGCCTTTCTCGACATCTCTAAAGAAAAAGCGGGAAATATGATGCATTTTTTTTCTCAGATCTCACCAAGTTAAATGTATCAGTAGCAAATAAGTGTTTTTAAGCTGCCACTTCAAAATATAACTTCAGATAAAATCTCATATATCTTTGAGAAGGCTGAGTGTGGTGGCTCATGCCTATAATCCCAACACTTTGGGAGGCGGAGGTGGGTGGATCACTTGAGGTCAGGAGTTTGAGACCAGCCTGGCCCACATAGCAAAACTCCACCTCTACTAATAATACAAAAAAATTAGCTGGGCATGGTGGGGCATGCACTTGTAATCCCAGCTACTCAGGAGGCTGAGGCAGGAGAATCTCTTGAAGCCCCTAGGTGGAGGTTGCAGTGAGCCAAGATTGTACCCCTGCACTCCAGGCTGGGCAACAGAGCAAAACTAAAACAACAAAACACACACACACACACACACACACCTCGTATATCCTTGAGGGGAAAGAATTGTCTGGATCACGATTGACTTCCCAGAGCTTAGCACAGTTCCTGGGGGTTAGCAGATGCTCAATACAGTTTTGGTGAATTTTCATTTTACCTGATTTCCGTCTCTAATGATATTAAATACTAAAAACTAAAAAGTTACAGCGTTTCATTTTGTGTAGGCACATGTCCATCATAAAGAGGTTGATGCTTTCCAGGAATGTGATGCATTACTCAGGGAGTACTTGGAAGATGAGAACCTCTTGTGAATACTGAAGTCTGTCAACTCACACACCTGACATGGTCTTAAGTTTCGAGTCATTATACATGACTTAAGGACTGGCTCACAGTGTGGTACGTCATGACTTGGAATGACATAGAAAAGCTACAAAATGGGATCTGAGTGAACAAAAAGCCAGATTGGTGTCCTATACCGGCAATTCAGGGTCTTTTTTAATCATGGGGAAAACGCCTGAACTTGTGTGTGGACTTGATATTCAAGAAATCAACTTTGTATTAATGTACATGGTAATGCCATTTAATTAAAAAGCTGTGGTAGATGTAAAATTCCTCTAACAATGCTTCCTTTTTGTTACAAGTGTCTTGTACATGCTTTAGTAGGAGAAACTTAATTCTGAATTTATACTGCAAGAACAGTTTATATAGGAAGAAAACTTTGGAGAAGCCAAGTCCAAAGTAATAAAGAAAATTATTTCCCTAAGATTGTGGCTGCCCATTGTACCAGTGGGTAATCTGGAAAATATTCTGTTCTTATGTTTTAAGACTCAAATAAATTCATTTATTCCTTACCTCAATATAATTTTTTTTAAAAGATTTTGGGTAGGCCGGGCCTGGTAGCTCACACCTGTAATCCCAGCACTTTAGGAGGCTGAGGCAGGGTGGATTACCTGAAGTCAGGAGTTCAAGACCAGCCTGGCCAATATGATGAACCCCCATACACACACACACACACACACACACACACACACACAAATTAGCTGGGAATGGTGGCACGTGCCTATAATCCCAACTACTTGGGAAACTGAGGCATAAGAATCTCTGAACCCAGGAGATGGAGGTTGCAGTGAGCCGAGATCATGCCACTGCACTCCAACCTGGGCTACAGAGCACCCTATCTCAAAAAAATAAAATAAAATGGCTTTGGGATAGAAGGTAGTGATAATGATTATTAGTCTTGATTTACAAGTTGTTAGCTCATGTAATCTTCATAACCAATTTGTGAAATGTACTTTTATGTTGTCTGTTTAACAGCTGAGGAAACCAGGCTCAGAATATTTAGATCACTTGTCGAAGGTTACATAATTTGTAAATGGCAGAACAGGGATTCCAATCTAGGCAGTCGGACTATACCACCCTGCTGATCGATGAGTTATTCTGCTTTTCTTAGCCTCCCTACCTTCACCTCCTGTATGTACCTAGCTAGACCAGGAATACCTGCTTTCACCTGGAAAATATCACTGGGCTTGAGGAAATTGGCTGCCCAGGGGCTAGGGCTGTTCAAGCCACACTTTCTTTGCACATATTTGAACCCAGCAGGCATACTTCCCTCTCAGGTCTTTTGTATTTGATGTTTCCCCTCCTGGAGCATTATTTATCCACAGCTCATCTCTTCAATCAAAGTCTCCCCTCATATCAGCTCCCCAGGGGGCTCTTTCTTGGCTACCCAAGTTCCCTCCTCACTCTGTGTCCCATTACCCTGTTTGATGATAGCACTTATCACTACCTGACAATGTATCATTATTTTTTGGTCCCCTTATTAGACTAGAAGCTACCTGAGGAGAGGGATGTTGTGTCTTTTTTTAGTCACTATTTTTATTGAGTTGAAGATGCACATTTTCCCACAATTTACTAATAGCAGTCCGACAATCTGGATATATCTTGTAATCACCAGTGTGTCTTGGTTTAATTGGTAGTATTTTTTTTCCTTTCTTGCTTGTACCTACAATAAATGGTGAGTCTTTAAATTGATGGTATCTTAGAACTAATGAAAATACAGTGTATCCCCGGGGTCTAAACTCTATGTGGCACGTATTTGGCTCTCAGTAATTACTTATTAGAGGAAGGCATTGAGTGTTGTGTGCCAGAAACTATTGAAACTTTTTTTTTTTTTTTGAGGTCTCACTCTGTCGCCCAGGCTGGAGTGAAGTGGCACGATCTTGGCTCACTGTAACCTCCGCCACCCAGGTTCAACTGATTCTCATGCCTCAGCCTCCCGAGTAGCTGGGATTATAGGTGAGCACCACCATGCTCTGCTACTTTTTGTATTTTTAGTAGCAATTTATATCGTTCTAGCAGACTCTTAGAAAGTAGATGGGAAGGGTGGGGAAGGTAAGAGAGACCAGTTAGAAGATACTCGAGCTCATCTGAGGGAAGGCTAGAATGGGAACCATGCCCACGGATGGTGAGACCAGCAGGGCTCCGCAGTCTGCTAAGCCGAGATGTCGGGCCTGAGCCAAGCCAGTAGGTGGCACCCTTCGCTAAAGAAGGGAATCCAAGAAGCTGGCTAGGTTTGGGGAGTTGGGAGGATTTGGTTTTGAATATAAAAGTTTCAAGTGCAGATGAACTCAGGTATTAGGTCCCAAAGACTGCGATGAGGAATTTATCCTGAGGTTTCTCCTAAGAACTGTGGGAGCGGCCGGGCACGGTGGCTCATGCCTGTAATCCTAGCACTTTGGGAGGCCGAGGCGGGTGGATCACGAGATCAAGAGATCGAGACCATCCTGGTCAACAAGGTGAAACCCCGTCTCTACTAAAAATACAAAAATTAGCTGGGCATGGTGGTGCGTGCCTGTAGTCCCAGCTACTCGGGAGGCTGAGGCAGGAGAATTGCTTGATCCCAGGAGGCGGAGGTTGCGGTGAGCCAAGATCGTGCCATTGCACTCCAGTCTGGGTAACAACAGCGAAACTCCGTCTCAAAAAAAAAAGAACTGTGGGAGCTATGGAAGAGAAATGACCGGATTTTGGAAAGATGACTGGTTTCAGTGTGAGCCGGCATGGTGATTCAGGCCTGAGGTGATGGTGATGGAAGGGGCAGGTGACTGTAAGTGTGGAGAACAAGCGAGCCGATTGGAGAGTTGTGTAGATAGGCCTTGGTGAGAGATGGACTATGAAGAGGATGGGCAGTGAGACAAAGCTGACAATGATACTTTGCTTTCCAGTTCGAGCAACTGAATGGGTATTGGGGCCCGTCTCAGTTAAACTGTTGAACACAGCTGACAGTGAGCAGAGGAAGAACATTTAAATTGAGGATAATAGTTACTAACAGCTAATACATACTTTCTTTTATTCTTTCTTTTTTCTTTTTTGAGACAGAATCTCACTCTGTTGCCCAGGCTGGGGTGCAGTGGTACAATCTTGGCTCACTGCAACCTCCACTTCCTAATTCAAGTGATTCTCCTGCCTCGGTCACCCATGTGTGTCGCCATGCCCGGCTAATTTTTTTTTTTTTTTTTTTTTTGTAGGGACAGGATTTTGCCATGTCAGCCAGGCTGGTCTCAGACTACTGGGCCTCAAGTGATCTGCCTGCCTTGGCCTCCCAAAGTGCTGGGATTGCAAACATGAGCCACCATGCCTAACCTATGAGATCTGATACTTTCATAGCTCTTCCTATATGTCAGAAGACTCATTTTAGTTCTCACCACAATCCTATGAGATTACCATTATCACCTTCGTCTTCCAGATGAGGAAACTGAAGCAAAGAGAAGTTAAGTAACTTGCCTGAGGTCACACAGCTAATAAGTGGCAGAGCTAGAATTTGGACCTAGGCAGCCTGGAAGAGTCTGCTGTCACTGCGTCTCTGTGCTGAAATTTCTCTAAATGAGCTCAGTTTGGGCAGTGAACCTGAAAGATCCGTTGGGCAGCCGTGTGGAGGTGTCTGGCAGGCAGGAAGACAGATGGTTCTGAAGCTCACATGGGAGGTGGGGACTGGAAATGAAGACTGTGGAGTCTGCATACCGGTGGCCATTGAAGCCACAAGAAAGGACAGGACCCTTAAGGAGAGGGTGGGAAATAATCAGAGGAAAGAAACAGTGGAGCCCTGGAAGACAAACACAAGCATTCCAGTTGTGGGCAGGACATCGTCCCTTCTGCACACTAAGACACTGCACCTGGATTCTAGATTGTCAGCTAACAGATAGTGTATCCATCCCCCCGAATTTGTTTGGTTCTGGGTACCCTGACAAAGTAGAGTTTCTGGACCCACAACCCTAATGACCTGCCTCAGTGGTGGTGATCCCCACTCTCTTCTACAAGAGTCCACTTGGGGGCCTGTTGGCTTCTCTAGGCATCTGCTTTTTGCCCCTCCCACAACTAAAGAGCCTCCAGCTCCCCTGTCCACCACCTGTCAGCTTTGTCAGGTCAGGGCCGCTGCCTGTCGGGACCACGATAGCACTTCGCCTGGAGCTTCCTCGGATGCCTCCTGAACCTATGTTCAGCCCTTTACCCATACATTTCTTGTATCATCTGCTAGCTTCTAAATTTCTGGAGGAAAGAAGAACCTATTAGGTTGACTCTCCCTCCTTCCACCCCTGCTCCCCTGTGTGGGTTAAATGTCCCTACACCATTGTCCCATGGCACTTCACCAGAATAGGAGCTGCATTTTGTATCTCTGTACCTAGCACAGGAGCCAGTGAGTCCATCAGTCAGTCAGTCAGTCATTTCAGCAATTAATTCCAGTTGTCTACTGGCTTTCTAGAAACATGACTGGGAGAGCTGACGCGTTTGACCGTTCATTTGAGCAGCAGAGCCTTTCACAACGGTCTCCCGTTTTTGTGGGAGGGGAATATAGGCAAGGGTCAGGAAGTGGGAATTCACGGCTTTCTTGTCATTCTCTTCATAGCCCCCACGCTACTGTGGTCTGTTATTTTGATAGTTGCTTTCCTGAAATGTTGGGGGAAAAGATGGAGAGTGAAGGACTTTGTGATGCCTTGGTAAATGACCCAGCCATGTGCCTGTGTGCCGATTCCCATGAAGCCTGCACCAATTTCAGTTCCAAGACTCTGGTCAATCAATTCTCAGAGCTCCAGGAGGGGAGGGGCAGTTTTTCCTGGTAGCTGCTGATCACCAGCAGAGGGAGCCCTAGGACTCTTTTCCTTACTGATGGTTAAACCTTCATTGTGGCTTCAAAGCTGTGGAGGACCCGGGATTTGTGGATCACTTGTCTTTAGAATGGAATCAAGAAGTAACTACAGAAGAAAAGAATCTGCACATGATGAGGATTGGAAGGGAGTGTTGAGAGGGGCTTCTGGGGTGCTGGTAATATTGTTCCTTGATCCAATGTTGGTTATAGGAGTGTGTGCTGTAATGTAGTATATATACATTTTTCTGTGTGTATAATTAAACTTCAATTAAAACTTTTTAAAACTTAAACCTCTGTATGTTTACAACAGAATAGGTATCAGGTTAGGGTGAGCTGTTGTTCTTTTCCTTACAATTCTTAACCTTATCTGTGTCACAAGACGGCCCCTTCCCCCGAGAATGCCACAAACCACGGGGTAAGGACTTTGGCAGCAGCTGCCAAATAGCGAAAGTGAGCAAAGGATATGAACAGAGGGTTCACAGCAAAAGAAATACAAATAGCTCTTGAACGTGTGAAAAGATGCTCAGCTTCAATTTTCAAAGAGAAATGCTTATTAAAATTATGCAGAGATACCCTTTTTAGCCTGTAAGATTGGCAGAAATCCCAAAGCTTGGCAGCCTGCCCTGTGGATGGGGCTGGAGGTGGGGGAGTCAGGGGAATGCATGGCAGGCCCTTTAATACATTGCAAGTAGGACTGTGAAATTGACAGCC